ATCAACTCTTGTTCCTCTGCAATTGCTCTTCTCAAGTTGTGAGGATGTGCCAAAATTGGCGAGCCGCGATGAATGAGCCAGTAGCCTTGAAGATCTTTGCCAATGACTCGAGCTGGTCCATGCCACTGCTTGTACACCTTGTGTTTCAAGCCTTTCCTCTTGTACATCACGAGGCTGTGCATGTCGAAAGGACCTGGCTGTTGACGAGTCTGTGACAGCAATGCACGACGAAACGATGCTGAATGGTTGGCTTTCACAAAAGCATGTTCACAGTCTTGTAGGAGCTTCATCCGTTGTGCCAATGCAAAATGATCTTCATTGTCAGCTATTGGAATTCTTCTTCCATCGCTCATGATCTTCGGAAGGTTGGGTTGAAAACCAAGGACACATTGAGCAGGCGAAAATCCTCTGAAGTTCGAAAGTCTGTTGATCGTCTGAGTGCACTGAATGACCGCTACTCTTGACAATGTAGCACCACGGATCTCACTGTCATGCACCAATTTCAACATCATTTCTTTCACTGTCAGAATCTTTCGCTCCACAATACCATATGACCAGTGTGCATCTCGGGCTACAAGGATTTCTTCAATCCCATAGCGATCCAACAAATCACGGAAATCGCCTCTGAGTGATCCGTCTTGGTCCACCTGCACTTTCTCTGGGCCACCAAACACTTCCATCCAATCCATCAGTGACTTTCGACACTGTGATGATTGTGGCTTCTTTGGTCTTCCAGGACTGTCACCTGAACATAGGTAAGATGCCATGGTATAATTTGTTGCCATGTCGACCATCATCAAAAAGGAATGCATCACATCATCTTGGTCAGGAATGTGTGCAATGTCCATGGCAACACACTGGTTGCAGTGATTGTACTTGGGCACGGCTGCAATGGGCTTTGCGGGACTGCGTCTCTCCTTCTCACAAGTCGGACAAGTGAACAACATTGCTGCCTTGATTGCCCGATCTGAGGCTCCTGACAACTTCAGGTGTCTGCTGAAGTTTTCCTTGTACAGTGAATGGGAATATTGTCGATGCACCTTGGTGATTGCACTTCTCAAAAGAACCGGCACTTCCTCCCATGTTTGAAGCTCTTCTTCTTCACGTTGCCGGAACACCACTTCTGAGCTTCTTTTCAAAGCACTGTGAAAAACATCAGCCTCCTCAAGATGGTACTTCACTTCACCACATTGCTCTTCTAGAAGTGTTTGTCGTTGGATTCCCTCAAGGATGATCACCCCCAACTGAGGTGTCCATTGTCCCAGAAATGATGAGATGTTTTGCCCGTCCTTTTGTTCTCTTCCCTGAACTTCGGCATGGTCATGATCACCTGAACAGCGAACACTGAGCAGTGAAGCCAAAACCGGAGAGGATGTCACGAAACGGGTTGGTTTCAGCACAAAATCACCATTCACGTCTTTCAGATCAGTCATGCATTGATCCATCCGCACTGTGTAATGTGGAATGTGCTCCAACATCTCCATCAAATGCTTCCAAATTTGCGATGACAATGGGTTTTCCAACAAATAGTGGCGACCTCCCAACACCTGCAATTCACAAATTTCCTTCACAAATGTCAGGTGTGCCAGTGCTGTCTCTTGTTGTGCTGTACGAGTGTCTTCATCCAAGAAGTTGCTAAGCGGTGTCCAGGGGTCACAATTGAATCCCATGGTGATCAGTTTGGGCTTCTCAATTTTAATCTCCTCAAGCACCATTCGCCTGTCTTCTTCTTTCAGAAAATTGTCCCCCAGCAACAAGTCTCGAGGACGACCATAGGAGAAGTCATTGTCTTTTGCCAGCCTTGTCACCACACCACCATCTTCTCCACTGTACAGCTCCTTCACAAGCACTTTTCTCCGATGCTTCATGGCTCCCTTTCGTAGTTCTTTCCATAGAGCTCTTCCATGTTCTTTAGCCTGTTCAGCCATCTGTTGAACTTTCTTTCGCAGCTTCCCCTTCATGATCCTGATCGACTCCACATTGTAGTCTTTAGCCTTCAACTGATGAAACACCTCAACTGTCTCACCTGCCAGCTTAGTGTCTTTTCTCTTCTCACTGTTGTGACCAATGTCCAAAAGCAAATGACCACCTTTCCCATATTCCAAGGTTACCTTTTCCGAACCAATGGAGGTAAACTGAATGGTCGGCTTTGGCACTGCAATGAGATCAATGACTGCACCAAGCTCTTTGAGTTGCGGAAGGCCCAACAACAATGGAACATCAGAATTGGGAATTCGATGCAAAGCCACACGACCTTTTTGACCGGCAATGTGAATGTCGATCCACTGCTGATGCTGCACAAGAACTGGCGCGTCTGCATTGACTCCTTTCAGAACCTTGTTGGATGTCTGGAGAGTTGTCTCGCTTCCAAACTTGCCAAAAAATCGGTCCAATGTTCGGTCACCACCGCAACCAATCAATGCAGCTGTGTCAACAACACACATTCCGGACGGTACTGTCTCACGTCCGGCTCCGGCCATGAATGTCAGGCTGTGCGGAATTGTTGCTAGATCAGATTCATTCGTCATGAAGGCGTCCACCTGCGACAATGGCTGCAGCTCCTCAAAGGTTTCGAACTTGGGCCAGCTGTGGATCTGGTCCTCAATGTCAAACTCACGGAACTCCTCCATGCACGACAAGTTCAAACAGTTCAGAGCATCTTGGCACGATGCAAGCAGCTGTCCCGATGCCGAGGCGAGCATAGTTGCTGCCATTCCAGCCCTCTGGAGAAAACCACCCTTGCGGCCTCCTTTCTTTCCAGAGCCTTTCTTGCCGCCTTTTGAACCTGATGATGAACTCGTGCTCTTTGGGCATGACTTGTCACCACGCCAGTGTCCCTTTTGTCCACAGTCATAGCACTGCGTTCGTGACTTGATCTGCTGCAACTTGTCTTGTAGCTGTCCTGCATTGAAAGTCACCTTGCCATCCAATGCAATTGCTGTCCGATTGTGTCCAACTGCGCTGGGTTGATATCCTCTGTTGACCTTACCATCTCTGACCGCTTGTCTTTTGCGAGCATACTCTGAAGCACCTTTACCCATCTTCTGAGCAGTCATGGCGAAGATGTCCAATTCCTCCAGAGAAAGATCATCAATTGCCATCACCTCCACGGCATGTTCCATCTCCTCGATGTCGAACTGGATGTCTTCTTCCACTTCATAGATGGGGATTCTTTCTTCAGCAGTTTCATCATCATGGTACCAATCATCGACTGCATACACATCCTCAGTCTCACCATCATAGCTTGACCACTCCTCTTCAATCGGGTAGGCCCATGTGCTTCTTTTGCCACCTGTGTTGTAGCTGCTTTGTTGTCTTGACTTGAAACCGCCTTTCCAACCCTTGTTGCTGCTGATGTCATCACCACCGTCCAATTGAATGAGCATAGCTTCAACAATCTTGTCCCAATCATACTCATTCCCTGCCTGTCCCAGGATGGCACGATGTTGCGATGAATTCACACCAGCATTCCTCAATAGGAAAAAGGCTTGCAGATCAGTCGAAAGCTTGTCAGCTTCTCATACTCATTCTCCCGGCGACTGATATAGTCTTGGATGCTTTCGGATGCCTTTTTTCGACCTTTCTCAAAGAAGTAGTCTTCGAAGGTCTGGGTCTTGAACAATGGAGCAACCTTCTCACAAGCATTCCTCACAACCTTCACCACCAGTTGTACTGCTGCTCGTGGTCCTGTTGTTGTGCTCGGATCCGATTCGCTCAGCTGAAGGAGTTTCTGAGCTGCGATCTCAGGTTTCCTGTGACAGAATGTCCATGCACGGCCATGCAATGCATTCTTGAGTTTCGCTGCATAGGACACTTTCTCTTCCTTCATCACAATTTAAAAACCCAGCCAGACCCGCTCTTCGTATTCTTCAACCAACTTTGGATTGCCGTCATAGTGCACAACGTTGGACTTCGGGTCAACATACAATAATTGCCCATTTAATTGCATTGTAAAATTGAAATCGTACAAAAATCAAAGGTGATATTGCGAGCCAACAAAATTTGCACCAAATTACCTCAACAACTTCCGAAGTGTCCAGCCTTCACAAAATACTCGAGAATAACAATTCCGGTACAATAGAAGTCAAAATCACCCCAGACTGCTATCCACCGAACAATGAAAGGCACAAATACGACCGCTCCAAGTTCCAGCTCCAAAAGAGGGGCACCAATCAATCCGCAAGGCGAACAAGATGGCAGCACACCAGCCTCGGAGCAACTAGGCTCCGCCTACCAATGCAAAGCGCGGAATAAGCGCAAACGAACCTTTTCACGGGCTCGCTCGAACTCAAGGCCTAAGTAAGGCATTCGAACCGAAACCATCATCATCAATAAGTGTGTGAAGTTCCACTCGGCTATCGTATCACCTGTCAAGGAAGAAAAGGTCATGCACATAATTCATCAATTTTACAATATATATATTATATTTATTTAAAATATTTTATAATATACAAATTTAATATCGTTATTTTCTATAATTATTTTTCTAAAAATATATATTCATTAAATTTTCGGAAATATCATAATATTTTATGTGTTCCATATATTATATATTTAGATATTTCTGTATTCCCATAATTTAAAATATATTCCGATATTTAATTTATATTACTATATTTTATCTAGCATTAATTCAATCATTCTATGTAATATATATTCCTATATTTATATTTTAATATTCCTTTAAACAAAAAGTTCATATGTTCTTTCCAGTAATCTAATTGTCATTTCTTCTAGCGTTCTTTCTGCAATTCTATTTGGTTTATATGGGCGATGCCCATTGAAATCTAACACGCACGGTTCGGGTCCGGTGGTGTCCATTACATTCCGGAGCTTGCAGCGAAAGAAGCAGGAGGAAGCGGCGAAGTTGACATAATAAAATCTAACAATCCTCACCTAGCAGTTAGCGAATCTCATTAAAAATATGTGTATATATATATAGTTATATCATGTATGTGTTATATTCATGATATTCTAAGCACCTATTATGTAGAACGCTTTTCCAAGCGCACTTTACAGTGACAAACACCATCAAACTGGAGGGCATTCTCCATGTTTGGTTTGCCCCACCACGCCATCAGGTTCCATGCAGCCTCGAAGGGCGCAGTAGGACATGACACACAGAGCCCCTTTGTCGTTCCCAAGACGACATTGGACAGCAGCCTCGTAATGAAACATGTCGACAAAGGACTGGTTCAAATACACAACCGGCTTGTCGCTGGTGAGAATTTCTATGAGAGCATCCCCGAGAGGATACGGATCCAAAAGCAAGTTGTTGATGGAAAGACCAAAGTAGTTCCACACTTTGCTTTGCACACCAAGACATCTCTGTTCAGAGACTTGCGCGAGATACTCGAAATCGTCGAGAGCCGCGGAGCGCGAGACATTAAAGAGACCATTCAGTGCGCAGAATAGATCATGGTAGTCCCTCACATTGCTCAAAGACTCATAGGACGTGCCTTCTGGCAGCAAAACCTTTTTGGGCTCCTTGCCGGTCTGCAAATACTTATACTCCGTCGTGGCAATTACCTTCATCTGGTGTTCAGCGTAGGGCCTCATATCCTTCTGTTCGCGGCCAATTGCGCATGTGCTGCACCAATCAGCGGCGGCCCCGAAGATGCACCAACCATCACGTCCAGGATACTTTTCTAACACAGCAGAAATGGGTTTGTCGTAATCCTCGCCAAATCAGTGCGCATGGCGAAAAAGGCCAAGAGAAAAGTGTTCGTTTCGGTCCCAGTAGATGACTCACTCGGAGAAATTGATACCATGGAACTGCGGGGTTTTAGATGGGAAGGCTTCCACAGGGTAAGAAAAATGACAAAATGTACTTTAAATGCTTTTGTATCTTTTGTGTTAGTCGTTTTAACTATGGTGTTTAACATTTTTATTTGGAATCTCAAGCGGTGCGGCTCTAATATTGACACTTAATCATGAACAGTGCAGTGTTGATGTCTTTGTAACTTGGGATAATGCTACAACGTGTTCAACAATCTAAAGTCCAATGTTCAGAGACAACACAATGATTATATATAAACTTTGTAGCTTCCTTGATTTACCAGCATCAATGGTTCCAAGAATAGCGATCAAATTTATCCTCGTGATTCATGTGTCTGGTGTTGCACCCTGCTCAGGAAAGCCACTAACAACGAACGCAGTGACATCACGAGTAGCAGTGAACGCAAACATGTCTGCCTTCTGCGCAGCGAATGATGATGTAAAACTACCTAGTTTGGTCGGGAACTGTTAGTCAATTGTACATGACATAGTAGGGTATACGCTCGATGCATGCATCGTCTGGCTCGCTCCTTAGTGCTGACAATGCCTTCGAAAATGTTCCAAAAAACGTGACAAGTCAGTCTCATGTCAACTTGTTGTTCTGCTTTGAGACTTTGCATATAGGTTTCTTCTCCAAAGCATGAGTGAGGCGTTTATTGTATTGTCCATTTGTTCAGTTTGCTGGTGAACTGTTTCTTGGATGTCTTGGATTGTTTGGTTCTTTGTTGAGCCCCTCAGGGCCGTTGAAATGCGAAATGCCTGTTGTAATTGGTCATTCTCACTGTGTTTGTGAGTTGGCTTGCTGTATGGCCTCAGTTCTGTTCCCTGCCACTGTCGTTTGTTGCCCAGGTGGCGTTTTCAGACGATGTTCTCCAGGCGCCAAAGGCGACAGAGCATCTCCGCTTGGTCGATTGACGTGGAAGGTTGGCTGGACCATTGGGACGACCTGCTGCCAGTCTCATGTTGTTGTTGTTTTTGATGTTGTTTGGCAACATGGGACTTGCAACAGTCTCAACGTTTTTGGTTTTAAATGTTGTTTGTTGATTGTGTCCTATTGTGGATCTAAGCGTGAAGACGTTTGTTTGTCTCAGCAAGTCAGTGGCTCACATGTCTGAGGTCACATGTCTGATGCCATTCATCTTAGATGTTCAATCACACTGTAGCATCTCACGCATACATATCAAAGCAACTGTGCTTTTCCCAATCAAGACATGCACTCATTTCAACACAGTCAGTCTTGAGATGCAATTTGTTCACATGAAACCTAGTCACCCTCAAATGTAGTTTGATGAAATTGGACTCTTGCCTTGTGCGTGTGCGGGGCGGGCGCATGGCGAAACCTTCGGCAGCCATAGCGAAGCTCAAGGAGCTTGATCCCCAGGAGTGCGGGAAATAGTCTTATTGGGTCACCAGGCATAGAGTATGGAGAGACGGAGCTGTAATGCAACATTTGCTTTCAAACAGTTTACTGCACCTTAAGTCTGGTGTAATGGTATCGCCCTCTCAGCCACATTACCCTCCTACCTTGCTTTAGGGCCTCACTGTCGTCTAGTAGTTGTTCTACTTGTTTGCGTCCTCTTGCGGAATTAAAGACTGACATGTTTGGCCTCAACCAAGTCCAAACCACCAAACCAAACCGCAACGTTCAATCGATTCTGGTTGGCTGGTTGAGCCCAGTCGGGCGCTAGATGTAGAAGCCTTGGTCCTCGGGAGCTGGGCTGGCGCAAATACCCGACGACGGATTGGCCGAAAGCGCCGATTGCAACTGCAGCTGCCAAACTGCTGTCGTCTCATCCTGCTCTGTGTCAGCGATCGAGCGATCTGGTGTCAGAAAGAGAAAAATACATTGCCAGCGCCTCCAAACAGTGATATTTATATAGCTACATAGTTTGTGCCAAGAGTTTGTCACAGCCAGCACCCAGGCCTGGCACTCTTCAGCCAATGAAAGAGCGCACAAGAAAAAGGAGAAACAGCGCGCGAACTGTGCCATGAGCTTCTGTCACAGCTTCTGTCACAGCGCCGAACAGCTCAGCCGGACATGATCGAGTGGCTACGGTTTGATGCAGTGTGACTGTGAGACTGAATTGGTATATAATTCAAAAAGACACATGCATTCTAAGTTTTCTGCCCATGCGGGGCTTAAGGACGTTTCAGGCTAACTCAACTCAAACCACAAAGGAAACATCTTGCTGGCACGCATCGCTCCTTTTTCGGGCTGATACTCCGTTTCTGGCGTTTGAACATCTAAAACATCTCCCAGCTTCTTGTTTCAACACAGAGAGGCATCCTGGTAGTGCATCTGTGGTCCCATGCAAAACTGTCTGGCGCAGCCTGCCATGTCACAGATCACCGAGCCGTTGTCGCTAACTGAATTGCTCGACAGCAAGCAGCGCACTGCGCCACGCAGCATCAGACCAGCTTTCAGGGACGGAGGTGCGTGCACTACGCGAGCACCATTTTCCTGATCGGGATGAAGCAAGTCGCACAGAGCCCGGCTATCAGCTGTTTGTTCCATCAGAAAGTCTCGCATCGTAATCTTCTGATAGTTGGGCACGACTGTCGACATGTATGCACAGTATAAGGACGAGAACGTTGCCACCGTACTGAAGTTTTTGATCATGACGTCACTGGGAGCTTTCCAAAAACCATTTACAAAGCAATCCATTGCTTCCAATGCGTTCGAACCAAGGGAGCCATCGAGAGTCACGTTGGTGATGCCAGGTGCCACTTCCACCCCAGGCATCACAATCGTCTTAGGAACCCAAGAGTTTAGGCACTTGGAGTCTAGTGGAGAGCCCAAAAGCTGCCTGTAGGAACTCAAGTCATTAGCCTTGTGCGCAGCAGCACAGTCTGTCCCTCCAACGAGATCTCCGTAAAGGCACCAGCCATCCTGGACTTTGCGACCAAAAAACTAGACAACGAAAGGCCCCGGAGCGCCTGGACAAATGCATGTAAGAATACGATGATGATGATGATGATGATGATGGTGGATGATGGTCGCATGGTGCCAATTCGAACATAAAGTAGATCTGATAATCTCAAGATATACCTGTGGGGCCTGTGGTGGGTTCATGAACAACACTCTTGCAGGGACACGTGTGTAGGACAGTGTTGTGGGACATCCTTATATGATATTTAACACGCGTAGGACACTCTTCCTGACACTCTTTGTAAGGCCCTCTTGCGTGACATTTGTGAGACAGTTGTGAAGACACTCTTCTCGCCGTGGGACACTGTAGGGTTCTTGTGGGACACTCTTGTAATGCATTCTTGTGGGGCACTCTTGTAGGGCACTCTTCTGGGAAACCACCACTTACCCCGCTCACCAGCGACATGCCGTGTTTATACACACACACACATGTTTCCCGTTCCCCAATTGCACGGAGCCACACAAACACACTTTCCACTGAGGCTGCTGCGCAAAACCGCACGGCGCAGCGACATCACAGACGTAATTTCCACGCGGTGTGCCACAGACTAGATACCACAATGTAACAACAAGCCTCGGGCATCTATCTGCAAAATATTCGGGCATAAATTTTGGTATTCTATCTGGAATACTATCTGGCTCACACTCTGCCATTCCAACCAGCATAAATTCTGACGTTCTATCGGCATTCTATCTGCCATAACTTCTGGCATTCTATCTGGCACGCAGTGGCCCTCTTAACTGGCATTAACTCTGGCGTTCTAACTGGCATACATTCTGGCGCTATATCTGGCATTCTATCTGACATATAAGTACATACATATTTTTTCACATGTATATTGCCGTTCCACTTGGCATATTTTCTGGCATTCTCTCTGGGAACCATCTATCTCAAATTTACTCTCGCATTCTATCTTGCATACGTTCGCCGTTCTGTCTGGCATAAGCTCTGACATTCTAACCTCGGGCGTTCTATTTGGCACATCCTGGCATTCTATCTGGCACCTATGCTGGCACACACACTCTCTCTCTCTGGCATACTTTTAACAGCATTCTATCTAGCCTAAAGTCTGACATTCTTTCTGGCATAAACTCTGCCATTCTCTTTGGCATATATTCTGACGTTCTTTCTGGTATACATTTTGGCATTCTATCTTGCATATAATCGGACATTCTAGATTCTATGTGGTATATAATATATACTGCAATCTAGCGCTTGCGGTTGAGGCCCGGCAGTGCCCACTGCGATCTAGCACTTGCGGTTGAGGTCCGGCGGCGCCCACTGCGATCTAGCACTGGCGGTTGAGGACCGGGAGGCGGAGGAGGAGGCGGAGGTGGGACGGGACAGCTTTGATAAAATCGAACAACTCACCTGGGGAAAAAATTCTCACCCGCCTCTCCGGGATGTTCTGCAAGGACCTCCAGAATGGGTCGCTCAACGTCCTCCTCCGTCAGTGTCGAGCACCCCTCACGGCCAGGCTAAGGACTGACTGCTCAGTCACGCCATAGAACCAAGCGTGACAAGCCCAACATCAGGCAAATGTCTTACGAAACATCTGAAATCAAATGAAATCATTATTGGAGAAATCTGTGCATTCGGAAATTCTGCGCCAAACAGCTCCAAAAAAGCCGGCGCCTGCCTTGCTGAACTTCGAGCGCTCGAGGCCCATCTGCGACGCCCAAAAAAATTCACATTGCCTTGAGCCTTAAGCCTTACACCTCGCTGAGCCTTCTGGCCTTCTCTCAGCCTTCCCTCAGCCTTCTCTCAGCCTTCATGTACGCAAGTGCGCCCATACAAAGGCATTTGGACAAATGCGTGCAAACGCATCACCTTGGACCTGAATCGCTTCCCAGCCTGGATGAAGGATGCAGTACAGAGTTCGCTGTCGTCGCGTGCTCCATGCACAGGCGCCTGATGTCTTTGCGGCCAAGCTGGGCAAAATTCAAAAACAAACATCCTTTTGGGGGGGAGCCAGGAATATGATCAACCCCCGAATCGGAGGGAAACTTGACACTGCGAGCCGTTGCAAAAGGCCTGCAACAATAGCTGCACGAGAATGAATGTGCAGCCCATGGTTCGAGAGACGCGTCCCAAGTTGCCACAACCAAGATTTCACATCGTTGGTTGTCCATGTCGTTGCCTACGCAGCCTATGCACTGGGCACCTTCGGCCTTTTGGGCCATGTTGGGCTATGGTTCTTCAGCCCGTTGCTGAAAGCCAAAACAGCAAGCGCGGGCCATTTGTGGCTCACTCAAACCTCTCCAGCGTCCAGCGCTAAGACCAACTCGCGCGATCAAGCTTAAGTTTATGGTTAAGCTTGGTCTTTTAAAGTTGGTCTTTGCGGTCGCCTTGCGAACGTGTGGCCCTCTGAGATGTTTGATGTTTGGCACGTTCGTCGTTCATGGGTTCAAATGCTCATTTAGACACCCTTTGAAATAACATTTTTGGATGGGGTCCTGGGGTTGCAGAGATGAGATGTTATATCATGAGTCTGATGATGCCAGGTGATGGTGAAGGAGGGCCACCAACCCGTACTTCGGCTTGACCAGGGGAAGGATGGGCTATAGAAGCTAGCGCTAGAGCTGAACCATAGCCAGGGTCCAAATTTTCAAACGTTCTGAGCCTATTCTTTGGCACATTAGTTTCCGCATAGTGTCATACTCTATGCCTATGCTACAGGGCAGGATAAATTCAAAACTGGATTGGTTTATCAGCAGTTCACCTAGAACTAGTTTGGATACCACACAAGCAGGGGTTCACCTGCGTAATTTTCAACACCATTCGGACCATTGGCTGTCTCATAGCACCGCTCACCTGGCGGGCGGGATTCCCTACGATCTTTTTTGTTGGAAATATAAGAACTTAGTTTAACATCTCAGGCTAGCTCTCCAGGCAATGGACATTGAAAAGGCTTGGCCGAACCTTCCTCTTGACATTCTCGGATCAACAAACTGAAAATGACTGCCATAAATGTGGTTTTGTGCCGAAGTGGCATGTCGCTTACGCTTTGAACAATTTTTTGGGCCGCTTTCCTGGGGATGTGGGCCAGTGTGGGCTATGGCTCTGGCAATCCACTTCGGAACAGTGGCCTGGGCCAGGTTTTTGCACGTGACAGGATGTGGTGAGTTCGCACAAGGGTCCCAGGTTGAGAGAGTATATGATCTCCCGACAAAGAGAAGTGAAAAAGTAGAAGGCGAGTGAGAAACCCACTTTGCGTTTTTCTTAGGAAACTATCCTCTTTCTGTAAAAACCGTGTTTAAAAACCGCGTTTCTTAAAGTAGTGACAGGTGGTGTAGGGTGAACTTTGGTTTTGGACTTGTGGTTAGTGAAACTGGTTCGCTCTGAAATTGGGCAAGCAGGCAGCTCAAAACAACAAACACAAAATCACACCGGCTTGGATCGTCTGCTTTTTCATGTCCATCAGTTCGGCGGCGGCATCGGCATTCCTCTTATGGGATCCCAGCCGTCACACTCGTCATACACGCCGACGCTGCCATCCGACAAGATGCAAAAACTGTAAACGCACATTGCAATGTCACCTGAGCATCGATTCAAATGGCCCCGTGCCACATGAAACATGCGGTGCGCAAGTCAAAGCATATTTAATCAAACAGCTATCGTTCAATTCAGTTTTCACGTTAACTTGTTGTGGAAAACATGGTTTAGTTCAAAACACAATGTTCGATAAGTAATTGTTTGATTGGCAAACTGCGCGCTGAAGTTTTTGCAGCAAAAGTTGCTGGTCCTGCAAGGGGCAAGCCGCAAGTTTTTGTAAACTACGATACTATTTATGTTTGAATGTAGCAATGTTGCCACATGTTGGGTAAACGGGGGTTAGCAGGAAAGCAACATGCGCAGGGCTAGAAGACCCTGCGCTTTACCCTTTTTTTGTTTTTCGGGCCACTCATCTTATCGTGTTTGAACTCATGAACTCCAAGACGATGACTTGACTTGAGTGGATTTTCAAGACACTCAAGGTCTGCTGTCCAGTCCCTCCCATCCTGATTTTCGGTTTGTCTGTTTTGCGCAACACCTCTGATTTGACATAAACGTCTTGAAAGAACCCACAATGGTGAAACGAGTGATAACCCCGGGGGCCAAACGCTGGTGAGTCAGCCCGTAGCCCAAAAGCGATATTCATAGCACTACAGTAGGGTACCATCAGATCATGCCAGTGAAAGGCATCAAGGTCCAAATAAAGGGGTCAGCCACAAAAAAGCCCAATTGCTGATTGGGGGAAGCACGACCTAGCCGCGCGTACCTGCGCAATGTCGTGATGTTTTTGAAGCTGTTGCGCAAACCGTTAATATTCCGAATTGTGGTCTATTGTGAAGTTTCCCGATTACCAAAAGCTGATATAGAGGGGATGAGCATGGCTGAGCTGAAAACCGCACCCCCGTCGACTCTGAGTCAGGTTGACCTTTGTTGCAGCTTCGAGGCGATTGTCTATAACCAACGCGTCATTGTTTTCTAGCACTCCTTGGGCTCTTGGCGGGTCTATTTCTACGAATATAGGCCGAATAGCCAAATAGGCTCAACCCTTCCGTGCGACTATAAACCTTCTATTTTGCTAGCGTTCTTTCAACGCAATGACACTGCTTCCACGCCACGGCGAACAAGAATGAGGTGCGCGAATAGATATGTACAGGCGTGCGCATCATTAAGGTGTGGTTGCGCGCGCACTCTCGCACACACTACTTTGATGTTCTGGTGGTTTGCTATTGTGTTAGGCTAGTTACAAGTGTTGTTAACTACATCATAACATATTTGCAATAGGGTTATAACTACTTATAACAAGTTACAATTGCCCTAAAGGCTTTATATTATCATCATTCTTTAAAGCTAATAACTAAAGGAAAATAATTGTTATGTTAATTTCATTAAAGAATTTATTTTTTTAGGACAATTTCTAAATCTATTTTTTAAAAATTAACAAAATTAGCACAATTAACATACACTTCAAAAGTTAAAAATTGACTAGAGAAAATGTTGTGTGTTTAGGTTGTATGCTTCAGCCTCTACAGGCTCAAGTTGTTTCAGCCTCTACAGGCTCAGGTTGCTTCAGCCTCAAGTTGTTTCAGCCTCTACAGGCTCAGGTTGCTTCAGCCTCTGCAGGCTCAAGTTACATCAGCCTTTGCAGGCTCAAGTTGCTTCAGGCTTTTGTACAAGAGGAGTCCTGTGCAGGATCAAGTTGTGTTGGTCTGTGCGTGCTCAAATGGGTTTTTGCACTGCAGCCTGCCACCATGGCATTGTAACATGTTGTGGGGTGGGCAGCTATATATATACAATGAAAAGGTGAATGTGTTGAAGAGAGAACAAACCACAAGATAAGAACACAAGGGACAACCAACCACAACATAAGAACACATGAAACACAAACAACACAGCATATATAGGTGCTTTGTTCATGAACTCTTAGTGCTTGCGCACCATGGCTCTTCCTTGGGTGGTGGAGCTCAAGAAGGTTTTGAATGACAATGAGATGGGCATCAACCAAAAGGCTGCAAAAGCCTTGGCAGGGTTGCAGCAAGCAGGACTTGCATACACCACAGTCCTGAAACCAAAAGAGGTCTTGATACATCCTTCCAATCGAGGAGGACAGATGTGCAACCACTTTGATGTGATTTCCAAAGGAAAATCCATCTGCCAGGTGGGGTGGAGCCTTCAGAAAGTGGGGCCTTCAGTATGTGTGGAATTGCCTATTGAGAGCAAGAAGAGATCACATATCATTGAGTGCAATGAGGCTCTTGCATCTAGTTCTGGTGGCATGCTTCCCATGCCAAGTGGCAAGGAAAGAGTGTGCAGCCTTTCCACCAGCCACACCTGCGCATTCCTTCGATGTCTAGAGAATGGATGCAAAATGGATGCTGGTGATGACCTTGAAGGTGGCTCCAACCTTTCCCTAGAGCAGTTGGTTGCCAAAGGTGATGATCTTGGGAAGATGCTCACAGAAGGCTGGGAATGGTGTGTGGTCAAAGCACAGGTCGAAGCTGAAGTGCCTGACTTCTGTTGCTTTTTGCAGGCTGCATACAATAGTGACTTTTTTGGCACTTTGATCAGAACTTTTTTTATGGTTTAGCTTTATGTGTGCTGAACTGGTTGTATGTGCAGTGGTGTCCACCACACCATCCAAGGTGATCATGGCATTGTCAAACCTCCAAATGAATTGGAGGTTGCCATGACCATTGCTCACATCTTCCAGATGCAGCCTGAGGACAAGAAGGATCTTGCAAAGGCAGTTGCCCAGGCTGCTGCAGGGATGCCTCCACGCAGGGGCTACATCAAGAGCATTGGGGACTTTGTAGCTTCCTATGCTGGTGGTGAATCCTTCCAGCTTTTGAAGTATTTGGACTTCATGTGTTGCTCAGTGGCATTGATGCAAAGCAGCCTTTGCAGGCTCATGCTGCTCACATGATGTGAAAAGATGAGAGCCTGTGCAGGCTTTATATTAAGACACATTCACGTGCATGCCTTGCATTTTGGGCAGCCAAGGTCGACAATATGGTGGTTCCATCAATTTTGGAGAGGACTTTACTTGGCTGTTGGCATACTTTGATTGGAAGGAGCCAACAACAACATTCCCATTCCTTCGAATTGCTTTGGCCTGTTGCCAGCTCACCTGCCCCAAGTCAGCTCAGAAGGATGGCTTCAGCAGACTCATCACAAGAGCAGACTGGGACAAGTTGACAGGCAAGAAATTACATGATGACAGCTTGAAGGCTGAGAAGCTCATGCATGCTGGATGGAGCATGGTAGAAAAGAGTTCTCTGGCAGTGGAGAAAGTTGCTCTTGCCTTTGGAAAGTTCCAGATCAGGTTGGCATTGTTTCTCCTGGGCAAGCAAAGGTGTTGTCTATGAGACCATGGATGACATCAATGAGAAGTTCAAGACAGACATCTTATTGCGCAATAGTGGTCTCCCTATGGATCAAAAGGAAAGAAGGAAGAGGCCAGCAGCTCTGTGAAGGGCCTGGAGGAAGCAACTGACACAGTGGCCATTGCTTTGAATGCGAACAAGCACATCAAAGTCAACAAGCTGTATTTGATCAAAGCCACTGCAGATGAAGACAATGCAGGAAAGATTTGGAAGCTGGACACTTTGTCAGCTGAAGGCGGCCAGCTTTCCCACCAGCCCTTCTTTGGAGAGGTGGAACACAAAGAAGTGACACTTGCTGATTTGAAGCACCTCAGGGAATGGAACAAGCCTCAGCCTGCATTGGTGGATGCCAGGGTGAGGCAAGAGCTACTTCCATGCAAGTCTGCAATGTTGGCTGAAGAGATGGCCAAGGCCAATTTGCAGTGTGCACTGTATGGCAAATACAAAGAGTTTCTCAGCTGTATGAGTAGCATTTTCACATGTTTGTTGGTCATGTCTTGTGCCCATACCATATCTTTATATTGCACCCCTGCAGCCCAGGCTTGGAGATCAGGATGTGGCTGTCTCCAACACCCACCAAGTATTTGCTGGTGGAAGGATTGGCAAGGGCAAGCTGGTGATCATGCCATTGGGCTTTGTGCAGGTTGTGCATGTGGACAAGCTGCTGAAGACCTCATGCAGCATCAAGGCACCAGACATGAAGGATCATTGCTTCATCATCACACCATGGAGGGTTGACTTTGTGAAGCGCACAGGTGCATTCATCCCCTATTGGATGGTGAAGGAGGGCACATCAGCTGATGAGTGCTGCCTGTCCAGGACAAGCATCAAAGCTGGTAAGTACAGTATCCCAGCCTATGTGAATAAGAGATTGATAGAAGAGGGCACCCCATTGCTGGTTGAGCCTGCTGAGGAGAAAGAGAGTGCACCAAAGAAAAGGAAAGTTGGTGCAAAGTGACCTTGTATAGACACCCTGGGTACAACAGCTTGCTGAGAAATGGTTTGCGCAGCAAGTTGTGCAGCATCTTGTTTAGCTCTGGTAAGCTGGGTTGCTTGGTGAGGCTTCTACAAGCTCAGTTGTCACAGCTTTTGCAAGCTCATGTGTGGTTTAATGTTTTGGTGTGTACTTGGTGCAGCCCCTGCAGGCTCTGTTTTGTTGGCACAGCTTTTGCAAGCTCATGTTGCTTCTGCCTGCGCTTGCTACAGTCCAAGCTTGCAGCCATGTGTGTACATATTGGCACAAATGTAGGTGTTAAGAACCCCAGCTGTGCAACATGGTGGAGATCTCTGAGGTTGTCACTGTGAAGTACAGGGATGGACCACCCATTGCTCTACCAAAGGGGCTGATCAATGAAGACCAGTTTGGTGGCAAATGGCTGAGGCTCAGGCCTTCCAACTTCAGCGTTGCCAAGTTGGTCCTGGGGCACATGGACCAGTTCAAGACTTTGTCAAACCCAAGCTTGGCCAACAGCCCACAGCTGAAGATCATTTGGAAGAAGGTCAAGGGCAAATTGAAAGAAGATGGTGATGCACCAAACCCTTTTGGTGAAGAGTGTGAAGAACAAGAGGACGCCAAGGGCAAGCAGAAAGACATCCTTGCCAATGCACCTGCAACAGTTCTGATTGAGCTCAATGGTGCCTATTCACAGTGAGAACACCAAAGAATTGGAAAGAGAGTGACCTGATCATCCCACTAAAAGTGGACTCTCTGAATGCTGTGTTTGATTTCATCATGGAGGACACCCATCCTCTCTTCAACAAGGGCAAAAGACCATACAACAAGTCAGGGCAATATGCCAAGAAAGCTAGAAAGGTCAGTGAGGAGGATTGAATGTTGAGCACTGCTGTTGTCTAAAACAGTCCTTTTGCAGCTGAACTTGAAGCCTGCGCAGGCTTATGTTGGTTTGTGTTTGGAGGCTTGTGGTGAGTGCCTGTACAGGCTCATTTGGTTTGTGTTTGTAGGCTTATGATGGATGCCTTTACAGGCTCATTCTGGGTGCCTTTACAGGCTCATGTTGAATGTTTTTGTTGCAGCCTTGTGCAGGCTCATGTTTCTTAAAAGGCAGGTGTCAGGTGAAGGTTGGCCACATCTTAAGGGGTTTGTTTTCTGTAGCCTTTGAATGCTTTAAGGGCTTCAGGGCTTCAGGGCTGCATCCATGGACTGGCCTGCTGAGTTCAGCCTGGAGTCCATGTGGTTGGAGTGGAAGGAACAGGAGGCTGCTTGGCTATGCCTTTGTTTTGCATGAGACTGTGTAGTTGTTGTGATTGGTGTGAACCTTTGTTGGCTCATACATAGTGTTCTTTTTATTCTATCATTCTGCCAAGGAAGCAGAGAAGGCATTGAAGGCATGGTACAAGGCCTGCCTGCAGCTTGGTTAGGTGTTTCAGCTCTTGAAAGCCTTATAGAAGCCCACTGCAGGCTCATTGTGCATTTAGTGTGGGACAACTGTACCAGCCACAGCAGCAGGAGCAAAGCGATGGCCATGAACATGGCAAGGCAGGGCAGTCACCAAAACACAGCAGTGTTACACCAGTCTCAATACTTTACTTCATAGTAGGAAGTTTGCAGCAAGTCTAACAGCTTCTTCAACATTGATATGTTTGCTAATGCCAGTACAGGCTCATGTTGACAGTTGAAATGGAAACCAGCATTGTGTGACAATGTTCACTATTGACCAAAGTTGGCCAAACCATGCACTCAGGCATCACAGGATCCTACAGCTGAGGCCATGTGTTTTTTTGGAATTGAACACAAGCACTGGTAGCCTGTATACAGCGAACCTGTGTAGGTTCCAGCCAGCCTGTGTAGGCTCAAACCAGCCTGTACAGGCTCAAGCTGTGGTAGTTGCTCAATGTTGTTCAACATGTTTCAGTGTGCTTTGGCTTGCAGGTGCTAGAGGACAAGAACAAAAAGATATCTACAGATGACTGCTTTGTAGCTAAGTTGCAAATGAAAAAATGTTTGGCGTGTGCTTCATTGAGCTTTTAGTTGACAGCCTGTACAGGCTCATTTGACAAACACACTATAATCATATGTAAGATGTCAGAATGAAGCTCTCAGGCACAGCAAAAGCGACCCAGGCCTTTGCCACAACCAGTTCAAAACCAACAGCCAGAGCAAGGGCCAACACAGGCTGTTCCACAACAGCAACAGGCAAAGCCACAAGAACAAGCACCAAAGACAACACAACCTGTGGCTCCACCAGCTGTGGCTGCACCAACTGTGGCCAAACCCAAACAGACAACACAACCTGTGGCTCCACCAGCTGAGGGTACAACTGTGGCCAAACCCACACAGACTGCTGCACCACAAGCCAGTAAGCCCCCACAAGCTCCTGCACAGCAAGCTGCAGCACCTGCAAGGCAGGCTACACAAGCTCCTGCACAGCAAGCTGCAGCACCTGCAAGGCAGGCTACACAAGGCACTGCACCACAGGCCCCACAACATGCAGCACAGGCTCCACAGGCAGTGCATCGACAGCAGGCTGCAGAACCTATGCAGACAGCACAGCCAGTGAAGGTTGAGCAGAGGGACCAGACCTATGGATGGGATGGTGATGTATGGTGGGAAATGGATGACACCAATACAGGCCTTTGGTGGTGGTGGAAACAGGGGCATGGCTGGGGCAGGTGGAAGGACACCACTGAGCTTTGGCATGTGTTTAATCTATGCCTGTGCAGGCTCATGTTTGTAAATAATATTAGTTTGAAGCCTGTGGAGGCTCAGCGAGGTATTGTTTATGTTTGTAGCTACAATTTTGAACCCTGTGGAGGCTCAGTGATGTATTGAATGTTGCAATTGTTCATTTTGTAATAGCAAAAACAAAACCATATTGATAGGTGTTTACAATGCTATCTAAGGACCCAGAGAACAAGAAGCATTCAGGATGGCAAAACAAGGCCACAGCTCTGGTGCACATGTGGAAGGTTGGCGATGAAGCTGAGTTGGACAGGGCCTTTGACAAGCTGCAGGATCACCACTCCTTGCAGCATGGGCTCAAAGAGCTTCATGAGAAGTATAGGAAGAAGGGACCTGAAGTGTACAAAAAGTACATCTAACAACCTCCTCTGGCCTGGTGTGGAAAAACAGTGTAGTGTGTTGTGCACTGTGCAGCCTGTACAGGCTCATTGTTGTGTAGGCTCAGCATTTATATGCTCTTGTTGATCATAGAGCCTGTGAAGGCTGCTGTTGTGCATTTGAATGCTGATATTGTGCC